CTGCTTTCTTCTCTTCAATATCCAAGTTTCTAAAAGGGAAAAAAGGGAGAATTCCAAATCACACACAAGTTCACGATAATGGAGATGGCTACTGAGGATTCTACAGGGCCTGATCACAGTTCTTCCCTTATTTTAAGAAGCCAAGTCACCATATGTGCTCTGGAAAAGAGATTTATGTGACATAAATTTGTGTGCACTTAGGATATCTAAACATCGGGCATAGGATGCAAAAGTGAGTCAGACAGACTCTGGCATGCACGCATTCATTCACTCAATCAACGTTAGTTGTGCATTCCTACTGTGTGCCAGGCATCATGCTAGTCACTGAGGATTCACAGGTGTGATGCTCTCCCCAGAACCTAGTTGCTTCCAGCTCAGTGAGGACACACACAGGCAAATGAGTAATGGGTGGGTTGAGCTGCAGGTTCTTTGAAGTAGATATGGGGTGTACCATGAGGCCCAAAGGAAGAAAACACTGTCTATGGCTTGTGAGAAAGGCATGAATAATACTAGGAGGTGAACACGCTGGCACTCATGGTGACCCTGGCAGCCCTCCAATGAAGGAGAACTTTGTGACCTTGGCATCCAAAGTGTAGAGTTTTCATCTTGATGGAGGTTGAGTTACATTCCAAAGCATTCCCTAGCAATTTCCCCCAGACAGCAACTGAGCTCTGAATCTGGAATTTATTTGGTAGGTACTTTTCTCTCTCAAAAATGCAGCCAAACACCAAAGAAAAAGATCACCTTTTAAATAAAAGCAGCACATTGTACTATTTGGGAAGTCACTGGGGCAAGTGTGTGTGTCTGTGTGTTAACAAACATGTATGGGAGGAATTTTAATTTCTCAAAGGAGCTGGGTAAGATGCCTTTAATATCTCATTCAACTGGGACTGTCACTTCTTTTTTTTTTTTGAACCAGGGAAAAGCAGTGCTGACCTGCAGCTTGAGCTGAAGGGAAAATTCTCTATTCACCTTTAAGCCTGGGGCTACACTTCCCTTGGGAGATTGCCCTCTGTACTAGAATAGACCCCTGCACACCATGACATCAATGGTTCAAAGGGTTTTAGGCTTGCTCCCCAAGTATTCCAAACAGATTGAATAAAGGGCTTCTCCTGACAGCAAAATGCAGCTTTAATTCGGATAAAACCCTTTTTTTTTTTTTTGAGACAGAGTTTCACTCTGTTGCCCATGCTGGAGTGCAGTGGTACAATCTTGGCTCACTGTGGCCCTGACATCCTGGGCTCAAGCGATCCTCTCACCTTAACCTCCCAAGTAGCTGGGACTACAGACATGTACCACCCACCTGACTAATTTTTAATTTTTTTGTAGAGACAGGGTCTCACCATGTTGCCTAGGCTGGTCTTGAACTCCTGGGCTCAAGTGATCCACCCATCTCAGCCTTCCAAAATGCTGAGATTACAGTTGTGAGCCACCACACCTGGCCAAAGTATATTTGTAAAGGCTTGAGGTGAGAGGGAAAGGAGCGGGAGGGATTGTTCCGTTGAGTGGCTATTGACCCTTAAATACACCAGACAAGAACTAATCTTGTTCTACCCAGAGAACAAGCCTCTTCCTTTTCACTTTTTTGGCACATTTAGTGCAGTCAGGAGCTAATTAAAGTCCTCCTGTTTCTCAGGGCTGCCTGTCTTTCTGTGGCACATTTTGTCCTGTTTTTCTGCTTGGCTTCCAATTGCAGCTGGATACAAGGGAGTCAGAGGTGATCTCCCACTTGTTTGGATGTGCCAGCTACTATATTTCTAAATGTCTAGTCCCTCTCATGAGCACTGACAATCTGTGCCTGAGATTTTTCTGGTCTCTGCATTAAGTTATAAATACCTCAGATTGGGGCCTTTGCTCAGCAATTAGAGTGGATAATATTGCTGGGTTGGGCAAAACATGGACACAGGAGCTATACGTGTCCCCAAGGAAGTAGCTCCAAATAGCCATCCCAAAATTCAAATAGTATATTAGGAAATTTTGTTTGCAAGAAGCAATTTTTTTTCTTAGATTATCTCAAACAATTCATTCTCATGGCAGTATTTCTTAAATACCTGCTATGTATGAGGCACTGAGCCAGGGTAAGCTTTTTGGAAGGGGCCACATGGCAGGGGGAGAGAAATCACATGAAAACTCCTCTAAGGCAGGACCTTGTGGAAAATGTAGACAAGATTGAAGGGCACCTTAGAGATAGGGGCATCTGGTCACCTGAAGGCTGTAGCAATCAAGCTGGCCTCTACTGTGATGGGATTTATTTGCTCCACTTCTCTCCTCCTCCCGCTACCCTGGCTGCCTCCATCCTTGCCTACCATTTTTGCTGACTGTACTGCTGCCTACTCATGTCCTCTGCTGACCCTGGGGTCCATGGCCCCTGCAGCCTCATGGCCTCTGCCTGCCTCCTTTTGGTATCCTTTGTTTCTTCTTATGCTACAAGTGCCTTCCTCCCTCCCTGTGTCTCTATTTGGATTCCTGAGCCTGATCGTTGATGGTCTCAATTAAGCAACGTGTTCCCAGTGGACAGAGCTTCCATGGTGGGCCACAACACGTGCTGCTGCTCAACCGTTAGGGCAGGAAAATACAAAGGGGTTATGTACGAGAGAGTTGCATGCAGGAAGTAATATGTCGTCTTTACATGGAGCGGGAGCTATCCATTCTCCAGGTAAAAAGGTAAGGAAAGAGGCTGGACACAGCCTCTTTTACAGTGGCTCACCTCTGTAATCCCAGCACTTTGGGCCAAGGCGGGAGGATTGCCTGAGCTCAGGAGTTTGAAACCATCCTGGGCAACATGCTGAAACCCTGTCTCTACTAAAATACAAAAAAATTAGCTGGGCATAGTGGCACACGCCTGTATGGCCAACTCGGAAGGCTCAGGCTGGAGAATCGCTTGAGCCCGGGAGGTGGAGGTTGCAGTGAGCGAGCCAAGATCGTACCACTACACTCCTTGTTGGTGAGAGGTGAGACTCTGTCTAAAAAAAAACGTAGGGAAGAATTCTCAAATTCTCAGGCAAAGGAAACACATATATGAAGTTTTCCAATGGGATGGGGTTGGGATCAGCCAAAGAACACTGAGCAGGCTGGTGTGGCAGGAATGTGACAAGCAAGGAGGAGAAGGAGAGGAGGCGGGGGCTGTGCACACCCCTGGCATCAGGTGGGAGGGGAAGCACATGATGACAGGCACAGTGACCGCTGCTGTTTTACTGATGGGATCATGAAGACCTATAGTCTGTGGGCCAAATCCAGACCCATGCCTGTTTCTGTATGAACTAAGTATGGTAATTGCATTTTCTGCAGGCTCAAAAAAGTCAAAAGAGACATATTTCATATGTGACCTTGATATGAAATTTGTGTGTGAATTCATATGAAAACTTACAAATATTTCGTGATGTGTGACATTCAGGTTGTCAGTGAGACAGGCTGGAAATACAGTAGCTGGCACACCCAAGTAAGTGGGAGATCATCTCTGACTTCTTTGCATCCAGCTGCAACCGGAATACAAATAAATAAACTTTACCGGGATGTTACCAGCTGTCCTCGTTTGCCTGGACTCTCCCACTTGAGTCCTGAAAGTCTTAGGTCCTGGAAAACCTCTTAGTTCCAGGCACACTGGGATGCTGATCATCTGGAACTCGGCAGTGTTCATTCGCTCACCTGTCATCCATGGCTGCACGCACGCTCCAGTGGCAGAGTTGAGCAGTTATGCTAGAGACCATGTGGTCCTCAAAGACTAACATTTACTATCTGCCCCTTTATACGAAAAGTTTGCTGACCACTGAGCTGGACCAAGGAAGAGTAGCTAAGTTATCTGTTAAGGTGAGGGGGTATAACTGGTTATAACTGTCACAAGAGTGTTTACTATGAATTGGAAATGGATTTTTTTTTTTAGACAGGGTCTTGCTCTGTTGCCCAGGCTGGAGTACAGCGGCACAATCTTGGCTCAGTGTAGCCTCGACCTTCTAGGCTCAAGAAATCCTCCTGCCTCAGCCTCCTGAGTAGCTAGGATTACAGGCACAACACCATGCCTGGTCAATGTTTTTACTTTCTGTATAGATGGGGGGGAAATCTCACTATGTTTCCCAGGCTGGTCTTGAACTCCTGGCCTCAAGCAATCCTCCTGCCTCAGCCCTCTAAAGCCCTGGGATTACAGGCATAAGCCACTGAAACCCATTTTTAAAACCTAAATTAGATTATGTCACTCTCCTGCACAAAATCTCTTAATGGTTCCCAGCTCAGTGGGAGTAAAATTCAAGAATCCCCTTCATCCTCTGAGACAGACCTCACCTCCTCCTGTTTCTCTTGCTCACTCCACGCCACTCTCATCCCTAATGTTTCTCAGATATGCAGAGAGCATTCCTGTCCCAGGACCTTCGTACTTGCTGTCCCCTTTATCTGGACCGTTTCTCCAGATATACACATGCCACATTCCTTCACTTCATTCACGTTTCTATTGAAAGTTTTCCTTTCAAAGAAGCCTTCCCCATCATTGTAGCACCGTTTGCCTTCTGATGTCACTTATTTGTCTATTTTCTGTGTCTGCACTAGTAGGTCAGACACAAGCTGTATGCCCAGCTCACAGAACAGTGCCAATCACAATATTTGTTGGATAAATGAACGGTTGGAAAAGGCAAGAATTTTGTACATGTCTGCAGGCTATGTCCCCACTCGTTGGACCATATTATTGCTAATCAATATTTCATTTTAGTCAATAGCCATCCTGTTACGATTATGTGGTTGTCTGTCTCTGTCACCAGCTGGCCTTGTTTCCTGCCAAACACCTTGTCCTTAATTGTCTCAGCAGCTGCTCTGTGCATTTCTCATGCCAGATGCCAGCCTGAAATACTGCCATTTCTCTGCCTTAAAAATCCTCAGGATGATTCTTCAAATCTCCAAAACAGACAATGACACTTTGTGCATAGATCCACTTTTCTAGGGTGAGGGTCCTCCACCCTCTGAAGGCTGAGGAGCTCCGATTTTAAGCAACAGCAGACTATTGGCCTAAACCATGCTAAGCTTTCTATGTGGCCGGCCCTCCTGGGAAGGCTTCCGCTGGCTGACACCTTGTGATGCTTCTGTTCTTCCTGAGCTGGTTTTACCAGGATGCTCTGTGTACCTCTGGAAGGTTTATCCTTTCTACCACATTCCGAAATCTTAAGCAAAATACCACACTCGCCTACAGCGAGCAGGGTCCCTAGTGGCTGCCCCACATGGCTGTTTTATTCCAGGCAGTGAAATGGGCTGCGTCCAGCCCCCTGCTAGTGAGGCGGCATCGTTTGTCTAGGGTAATACCCGAGGTTGGTTGTCTCACACCAAGGAAATGGAAGAGGCAGACACACAAAGAGTGGGTTTAAGTTAAAAGTTTAACAGGCAAAAGAATAAAGCCCCACCGTGCAGAGGGAGGGAGTTTCTGAACAGGTTTCCTGGATTTGGGGCAAGATATGGTTGGTTTTACAGATGAGCTTGAAGAGGTGGTGTCTGATTTGCATAGGGCGTAGTGGATTGGTTGGGCCAGGTGTGCCATTTACACAGGGCACGAGGAGGCTGGCCGTCCCACCCTAATATTTTATTATGTAAGTGGAGTCTTTACCTGGCCAGCACCCCCGTGGCCTGCACACGTGGTGACGAAAAGGGAAGAGGAAATGTCCTCTTTGAATCTGCCTGGCTTGCAGGTATTCCTTTTCTATTGGCATGGTTGCCGGCATCACCTATGCAAGCTTCCAGCTGGCTTCTCTAGGCTTGCAGCTTGAGTTTTCAGGCTGCTTTTTATTAAAAGGAAAACCTTATCAAGGACTCCCTGACTCTGGCTAACTGCCTAAATAATTTCTTTCTAGCTCCTGTATCACAAAGACACTTTTCTGGGAAGAGCTGCCTGCCAGTTCCCGACAGAACGGCATCAAGTGCGTCATTCTTAATGAACCCAAGGCCTGGATTACTATTCGGTGAGTTGTCCATCCTGCGTCATCCTCTGCTACAGCAGAGGCCAAACCTGCCCAAAGGCACCCTCTTTCTTTCATGCAGAAGAATTCTAACTGCATACCCACCGTGTGCAGGGTCCTGGGCCTAAGGAGATAAAACGTGTTCCTGTCTTTAGGATACTAGTGTTGAGAAATGCTGAGTGTATGATAGAATATATTGTTTGCTAGGAAGAGCGATGGCAAGGATAAACCTAGCTGCCCCCCCCGCCGCCCACAGTGGAAAACTATTTGGGGCATTCCAAAGTGGCAAGACAATATATGCCTGTTGCTGGTTAAAACAGTTCTTTAAGCGCGGGATATGTGACTCTGCCCCCGTGGCTCCCTCATGGAGAATACTTTTTAGTTTGTCTGTGATCAGTGGTAAGTGGGCACCAGCTGCCTACCTAGTTTATTTTTGTTCTGTGAGAAAAATACCAAACACCTGTTTGTTAATAAGAATCACCTGTTCAGAGAGAATAAACGCCTGGGTCAGTGTCTGCTCCAGGCCCTCGGCTCAGAATGCCGTCAGCCACCGAGGCTCCCAGCTCAGAAGGCTGTTGGCCCTCGGCTAGCCCCACTTTGCTATTCTGTCTGGGTGTCTGCTTCTTAACGCCTTCAGCGCCGCCTAGGTGGGGGGCTCTATGGCCAAGCTGGTCTTGGTAGACTAGAGATTCAGCGAGGTAATTACACCCAAATGTGAGGAGATGGGAGTGTCAGGGGCCCTGAGGACAGAGACCTGGGGGCCCAAAGGAAGACTTCCGGAGGAGGTGACATCTAAGTGGAGACTTGGAAGACAAGTGGAAGTTCTTATATTCAGATGTAAAGGCGGGAGAATCCTGACATAAGTTTCTCAAGTGTCACTGACTAAAATGATTTTAAAAGGGAATAAGTTTGGCGCTGTTTTTAATAGCAGGTAAGCAGCAAAGCAAACAGCACTTGAGACCTAGAGGAGGCTGGGGGAGGGGGACAAGAATACGGAAGGAAGAAGTGGGAGGCAAAAAAGAAAAAAATCCCACAACCCCAGGACAGTGACCGGCAGCACCTGGGAGGGTGGGGACTGTGAAAAATACAGATTACCCGGCCCATCCCAGACCCATTAAATCAAGCTGTGGGGATGAGGCCCACAACCTGTGTGTTAACAAACCCGGGCGCGGTGGCTCAAGCCTGTAATCCCAGCACTGTGGGAGGCCGAGGCGGGTGGATCACGAGGTCAAGAGATCAAGACCATCCTGGTCAACATGGTGAAACCCCGTCTCTACTAAAACTACAAAAAATTAGCTGGGCATGGTGGCGCGTGCCTGTAGTCCCAGCTACTCAGGAGGCTGAAATGGGAGATCACCTGAGCCTGGGAAGGTCGAGGTTACAGTGAGTGGTGATGGCGCCACTGCACTCCAGCCTGGGTGATAGAGTAAGACTGTCAAAAAAAAAAAAAAAAGGCCGGGCGCGGTGGCTCAAGCCTGTAATCCCAGCACTTTGGGAGGCTGAGGCAGGTGGATCACGAGGTCAAGAGATCGAGACTATCCTGGTCAACATGGCGAAACCCCGTCTCTACTAAAAATACAAAAAATTAGCTGGGCATGGTGGCGCGTGCCTGTAGTCCCAGCTACTCAGAAGGCTGAGGCAGGAGAATTGCCTGAACCCAGGAGGCGGAGGTTGCGGTGAGCCGAGATTGCGCCATTGCACTCCAGCCTGGGTAACAAGAGCGAAACTCCGTCTCAAAAAAAAAAAAAACAAACCCTCCAGGTGATTCCGATGCCTGCTCAAGTTTAGAGCCACTGGGCTGTAAGCCTGGGGCATGGCAGTTCTCATTAGTGTTTAATGACAGTGATGAGGGAATCAGCCAATTACTCTACCTTGGAAAAGAGAAAAGCAGCATGTTCTCGGCCTTGGCTACACGTCGGGAGCACCCTGAGAGCTTTTGTTCTTCACATGTACCCCAAAACCTAAAATGCAATAAAAATAAATGCATAAATTAAAATAAGAAAAAAAAAGACCTGGGCCATGCCCCAGACCGATTACATAAGAATCTCCGAGGGGGACCCAGGCATTGACATTTTTAAAGCACCCCAGGTGATTGTACTGTGCAGCGAACACTGAGCACCACTGCAGTGCAAGAAGGCATCGGGTTGGGCACAGCGGCTCACACCTGTAATCCCAGCACTTTGGGAGGCCGAGGAAGGCAGATCACTTGAGGTTAGAAGTTTGAGAGCAGCCTGGCCCAACATGGTGAAACCCCATCTCTGCTAAAAATACAAAAATTAGCCAGAAATAGTGGTGCATGCCTGTAATCCCAGCTACTTGGGAGCTGAGGCAGGAGAATCATTTGAATTCAGGAGGCGGAGGTTGCGGTGAGCCGAGATTGTGCCACTGCACCCCAGCCTGGGCAACAAAGCAAAACTCTGTCTCAATAAACAAAGAATTAGCCTGGTGTGGTGGCTACTATGCACTTGTAGTCCCAGCTACTTAAGAGGCTGAGATGGGAGGACTGGTTGAGCCACGATCGCACTAGTGCACTCCAGCCTGGGTGACAGAGGAGACCTTGTCTTAAAAAAAAAAAAAAAGAAAAAGAAAAAGCATCAGCAATATTCTGTTTTGAATGACTTAGAGAACTTTATTTTATTTTTTAAACTGTGTTTATTTCAATAGCCTTTGGGGTGCAATTGGTTTTTGGTTATATGAATAAATTATACAGTGATGAAGTCTGAGATTTTAGCACAACCATCACCTTAGTATACATTGTACCCAATATGCACTTTTTCTCCCTCACCCTCCCACCCTCCCCCTACTGAGTCTCCAAAGTCTATTATATTATTCTGCATGCCTTTGCTTACCCATAGCTTAGCTCCCACTTATCAGTGAAAAAGCATATGGTATTTGGTTTTCCATTCCTGAGTTACTTCATTTAGAATAATGGCCTCCAGCTCCATCCCGGTTGCTGCAAAAGTCATTATATTTCATTCTTTTTTATGGCTGAGTAGTATTCCTTGGTGTATATAGACCACATTTTCCTTATGCATTGCTCGATGGGCACTTGGGTTGGTTCCATATCTTTGCAATTGCGAATTGTACTGCAATCAACATAGGTGTACAGGTGTCTTTTTGATATAATGACCTCTTTTCCTTTGGGTAGATACCCAGTAGTGGGATTGCTGGATCAAATGGTAGATGTACTTTTAGAGAACTTTATTTTAAACAAAAAATAGCATACATAGATGTGTGTATCAAGTAACAAGTGATTTAGACAAAATAGAGCTTTTATTTTTTTATCCTATAGTAAAAAAATCTGAAGGCCGAGAGCCTAGAACTGAAACAGTAGCTCCACAATGTCTTCAGTAATCTGGGCTCCTTCTAGATGGCCACTCTAGAAGGGTGGCCCTCAGAGTCACAGTGTAACTACTAGAGCTACTACTCATGTTCCAGGAAGGAAAACTTAAAGAATGAGGAACAAAAAAGTGTACCTGCCCTCTTGTTTAATCTTCTCTAAGGAATGCTCCCGGAAGCCCCATCCAGAGACTTACACTGACCTCTCATTAGTCAGGACTGTGACTCATGACTACCCTCAGCTGCAAGGGAGTCTGGGAAATGCAGTATTATAACTGAGCGTCTTGCCATTGAGAGCAATATTGGGTTATGTTTTTAAGGAAGAAGTGGGAAATGGATACTGGGTAGAGAAAATGAAGATTGGGTAAGCAGCCACCAGTCCATTTCTGTACTAGTCAGCATTCTCCAGAGAAACAGAACCAATAAGAGATTTCTATAAATAGAAATGCTACAAGGCATTGCTTCCATGATTATGGAGGCTGAGAAGTCCCACAGTGTTCTCTCTGCAAGTGGAGACCCGGGAGAGCAGAATGCACAGTTGGAAGGCCTGAGAGGTGAAGAGCCAGTGGTGTCAACTCTAATTTGATCTGAAACCTTCAGAATCAGGGGTGCTGAAGCTTGATGTCCAAGCTCACCCACTCAGACAGAGAGGGAATCTAACCTTCTGCCTTTGTGTTCTATTCAGGCCCTCAATGGATTGGACAAGGCCTACCCACACTGCAGAGGGCCATCTGCTTTCCTCAGTTCACCAACTCAAGTGCTCATCTCTCCCACGAGCAGTCTCACAGACACACCAGAAATAATGCTTAACCAGCTAGATGGGCAACCTGTGGCCCCATCAAGTTGACACATAAAATTAACCATCACAGTGTCACAGAAATCTTCCTTGGATGTTCATGGATGGATGATTTAGGGGGGGTTGTGCTCCAGAACCATATTAGACTCAAAACTAGGAGAGAACTTTCCCAGAAAGCTGTAAGGCATTTAATGATTAAACAAACAAACAAACAAACAAAAAAACTCTGCTGTGTCTACACTTGGCTTCTTTGACTGGGTAGTGTGGTTGGGTAGGGAGGGTGGTCAAGATGAGTAGGGGGACAGAGAGACAGGAAGAACCTAATCAAAGAAGTCACCAGGATTCTGGGGAGGGATTTGAAGTTGTAAAGTGGTGGGCACTTTTTTCAAGGTTTCACAATGAATCATTGAACTGGGGGGTAGAACCTGGAGAGAACAGAGATCCACTGTAACAAGGAGGAATTTTGTTTCTGCACAGAGCAAGCGGAGGGTTAATCAGGACTCTTTGGGTCATAAGGAATAGAAACCCAACTTCAGCTAGGTTTAGCGAAAAAGGAATTTATCGGCTAACCTAACTGAATAGTATGACGAGTATGTAGATTTCAGGCCTGGCTGAATCTAGGTGAAAGAACCTCCAAGCTGTGGCTTCAGTTATCACCTCTCAGGCAATCCTCGGTTCAGAAGAGCCCCTAGGCAATCTACTCTGTTCCCTGACTGTGCTTTTGTGGCCGGTCATGGTGAGCAAGTCCACTGGAATTCTCAGATAACAGGGACTAGAGAGACACATACTATCAATATTTCTATGTGAGCAAAATGCCCTAATTTAAGGGAAGCAGTCGTGAGGATGTTCATTTCCTACATATCAGGCAAGTCCAGCCAGATTCTATGGCATAGAGCTATTTGCCCTTCCCTGACTCTCTATGGTCTCTGCTCTGATTGAACCAGCTAATGTGATTTGTTAGCTGTTATTGTTTTGTTTGTTTGTTTGTTTGTTTGTTTGTTTGTTTTTTGAGTCGAATCTCCCTCTGTTGCCCAAGCTGGAGCGCAGTGGTGCGATTTCAGCTCACTAAAACCTCTGCCTCCTGGGTTCAAGAGATTTTCCTGCCTTAGCTTTCCCAGAAGCTGGGATTACAGGCACCTGCCACCACACTTGGCTAAGTGTGTGTGTGTGTGTGTGTGAATGTATTTAGTAGAGATGAGGTTTCACCACGTTGGCCAGGCTGGTCTTGAACTCCTGGCCTCAAGTGATCTGCCTGCCTCCGCCTCCGCCTCCCAAGGTTCTGGCATGAGTCACCATGCCTGGCCTGTTATTGACTTTTATATGCTAAAAAAAAAATAGAATTAAATATTTTAATATTGAATTAAACATTTTTAATATCCCACCATGTGTCCAGTGATGAAACTCTAAAGACAGGCTTCTGGAGAGAGAAAACAGCACATCATCTGGCAGGCTTTCTGCACAGTGCTCGTTCTGGCTGATGATTTCAGCAGCTATTTTGTTATTGTTTGTCCTGTCTTTGTTATTTTCGTCTTATAGGTACCCACAGCATATCAGGGCATCAGTGGGGTAGCAGAAATGAACATATGAACAAACGAGCAATAATCCTGGCCCTGAAAGGCAACTCATAGCTCATACGCCCGTCCATATCTGCGTGGGCCTTCCCCCTGCAGAGCCAAGGTAGCCTGACTGCCCCAACAGGCCTGGCATCTCTTTGCCAGAGGCTTGCTCTGGCTTCCAGAAGCCTCTTTGCCTATGCACAGCTGGCAAAATTGCCAGATTCTCCTCCAGTGATGGATGGGAGTCAGCACATGGAGCCTTACTCCCGGGGAAAAATCCTGAGATGCATGCTTTTCACTGGCATGCACAGGTCCTAGGGGCCCACCGTGGCAACTTGCTGACCACATGTCCTCTAGGGGCTGCTGCCCTCCTGCTCTCTCTCTCTCTCCCACCTACTATGCTTCCTAGGATCACCTCCCAAATAAATAGCTGGCATGCAAATCCTTGTCGCCCACTCTGCTTCTGAGGGAACCCAATCCAGGTCAACCCCCAATGTCTTCTGCAGATCCCATGAGCAGCGTGGAGGTACCATAATCAAAGCACACCCAGGGCATGGGCCTGGGAGCACGGAGCAAGGGGCCCTGAGAGGGCGGCTGGAGGAAGTGAGAGATGTCACCTGGAACAAGTGAAGGCCGGGCATTTCCTGGCAGATGCAATCACAAGAACAGGGCTGTGAAGGGCTGAAATGGTGCCTGAGGCAAGATGATGGCTTGGAATTGTGTTATTTGTGATTTTCTTTTTTCCCTCTTCTTCATATGAACTGCTCTGTAACTGAGGAGCAGAGATGTAATGTAGCCTTGAGGAGGAATGGATAGTAGGGGCGGAAAAGACAGCACAAAACAAAGTGCAGAAGGTTTTAAATTATTTTCCCCCAAAACAGGCTTCTTGGAATCAAGGATGAAGCAGAGCACAGAAGCTTCTCTTCCTGCCCAGAGAGGACACGCAGGAGTGTCACAGGACCAGGTGCAACACAGAGCACGAGGGAAGGGTAGGACATTGGAACCCTTGGTGTAGGGATGCTGGAGGTATGGGGATGCTCCACACCCTGAGGCCTGGGTGGTTGCTGTAGAGCGTTTGTTAGAATTTTACTGTAATTACAGTTTTTGCAATGAAAAGTAATGGCAAAAAAGCACAATTACTTTACACCAGCCTAATAGAAGCTACATTAGCTGTTTACTTGGGCACCGTGGGGTGATACTTCCATGGCAGCTGACTGCTTAGGCCCATGGAGTGTCCAGGAGAGGATGTTGAGACACCTCCCACCCCCACCCATGCTGAGACTGGCTTAGCCCCTTCCAGTGCCACATGTGGCTCTCTCCTTCCAATAGCCGAGGCGATAACCCTCTTCCTCAGAGCTGCATTCAGGGTATGAGAGGCCCTGGACAGTGGTGGAAGACCACCCACACCAGACCCCAACACAGGCTAAATCTGAAGAGTGCTGATATGGTTTGACTGTGTCCCCAGCCAAGTGTCATCTTGAATTGTAGCTCCCGTAGTTCCCACACATTGTGGGTGGGACCCAGTGGGAATTAATTGAATCATGGGGGTGGTATCCCCCATACTGTTCCTGTGGTTGTAAATAAGTCTCACATGATCTGATGGTCTTATAAGGGGAAGCCCCTTTCGCTCGGTTTTTTTCACTCTCTCTTTGCCTGCCGCCATGGAAGATGTGCCTTTGTTTTTCCCTCACCTTCTGCCGTGATTGTGAGGCCTTCCCAGCCATGTGGAACTGTGAGTCCATTAAACCTCCTTTTCTTTATAACTGACCCAGTCTCAGGTATGTCTTTATCAGTGGATGAAAATGGACTAAGTGCCTACCTGTCTGGGCAAGAGGCCAGCTCTGCACAAGGTGAGGGAAATGGCAACTCACAACGTGGGGATAAAGTAACAACCTTCGAAACACACTCTTGTGCTGTGCACGGAGGCCTGCTCACTGTATGAATCTATAGATGATATAAATATATGCATATATGTTACATAAAAGCTCTGAGCTTCACTTTTTAGTTGTCTGAGCATGAATGTGACAAGTCAGTTGAGCTGCTCTGCAGTCAGGATGAAAGGATAAAATTAGAACCAATTCAAGTTACTTGATGAAACATCTCAGAAGCACCGTAGAAAAATTCAGTGTTAAGTCATGGGGTGACCTGACACGTGAAGCCTCACTGTCTCATCCCCCGTGCAGAGAGAATAAATGTGCTGGAGCCCTGAGGCCTGAGAGGTCCGTGGCAGCTTGAGTGTGGTGACCCCAGGAGGAAGGAGAGGTCAGCAAAGGTGGATGGGGAAGTCTCTTTTGGGCAACCCCTCCTGTGCTTTGATACTTCTCCCAGAGGTTGCCAAGGTTTACCTTTGGGGTACATCACCGAAAATATCCTTCCTAGAAGTTGGAGTATTAGATCAAATACCCGAGCCAGGAGGTGTGATTTGGGGTGCTGGCTGAACCACTGAGTCATGGACAACGCCTGGTCAACTCACCGAACATTTCTGCCTGGAGCTCCCTCACTTGGAAAAGCAGGATTAAGATGTCCTAGTTACTCTCCTCCTGAATTGTAGTCAAGCTTTAACTGCTTAATCCACATTTTTTTTTTTTTGAGGCAGTCTTGCTCTGTTGCCCAGGCTGAAGTACAGTGGCGTGATCTTGGCTCACTGCAACCTCTGCCTCCTGGATTCAAACGACTCTCATTTCTCAACCTCCCAAGTAGCTGGGACTACAGGCATGTGTCACCACACCTGGCTAATTTTTGTGTTTTTAGTAGAGATGGGGTTTCACCATGTTGTCCAGGCTAGTCTGGAACTCCTGACCTCTGGTGATCCACCTGCCTCAGCCTCCCAAACTTCTGGGATTACAGGCTGTGAGCCACCTCGTGCGGCCTTACTCCATATTCAGAAGAATTAACAGCTCCTTACAAATGGAGGAGGCCAGTGTCACGTAACCAGCATCAACATCTCCACCTCCACCCCTCTTAGGGCCATGCTTTCTGGTAACCTATGGGAAGAGATGCAGGACTGATCCTCCCAGGCAATCTGTCTGCATCGCAAGAGGCATGTTTCTTGACATGCAACATTTCTACCCAGACGTTTGACTTCTGGGTTTGTGACCAGGATAGGGTGTTTTGCAACAGGAAAGCATTTTGATGCCCTGACCTCAAACCACACAGGCAGCAGTTTATTGAACCACGAGCAGGCATGGATCTGCAAGGAATGTACTTCACATTTCAAAAGGGATGTTTCAATTTCTGTGTATCATTTGCATTTTAGTAGAACTGGACGTTGCAGGAAAATAAGCTTGAGTGTAGGCTTCTTCCCTGGGTCAGGTACGCAGGGAAGCAGGGACACAGGTGATGCTGGATGTAAGCTGAAGTGAGGGGAACGGGACTTGATGATGTAGTGGATGTGGTGCATGAGAAAAAATGCTGCCAGGGCCTGGGATTGGATGGCTGGAGGGAAGGAGCTACCATTCTCTGTGATAAGGAGCCTGGAAGCAGCAGAGCTGGAGGAATGTCAGGAGCTCAGGGCTGGACCAGCTAGGCTTGAAACTCAATTGGAAATTCAGATGCTGATGCTGAATAGGCTTCTGGATAGATGGGGCTGGAGTTCAGGGAAAAACTAGTTTAAGAGTCGCCATTATGTCGACATGTGTGGGTGTGACAGTTCTAAAGTTCACAGCTGGCATGCTGCACAACTCCAGGGGGTGGCATTTTCATTCTCTATGTAAAGAGCAGCCCCCAGGATTATGCAAGCAGGTGGCCATACCCAGGTTAATCTTACCCCTTTCTGCCCTAGGCTTCTTAGTAATTTTGGAATCAGCTGGGCAAACAGGGAGAAGAAAGCAAGGCTGTCTTTGCCAGTGTATTAGAGTTCTCCAGAGAAACAGAGTCAAGAGGATATACATGTAACAGATCTTGTTATAAATCTCTTTATATATAATATGTAGACATGCACAGGTGTGGCAATTCTAACATTCATAGCTGGTGTGCTGCACAACTCCAGGGGGCAGCATTCCCATTTTCCTACATGAAGATCAGCTCCTGGGATTACACTAAAGAGCTTTATCATAAGAAATTGGCTAATGTGCTTATGGAATCTGGGAAGTCTCAGAGTCTGCTCTCTGCCAGCTGGAGACCTGGGGAAGACAGTGGTGTGGTTCCGCTCCGAGCCCAAAGACCTGAGAACCAGAGAGCCAGTGTTGTTAAGTTCTTGTTCATGGACAAGAGATCAGTGTCCATCTCAAGCAGTCAGACCAAGAAAGTGAATTCTCCCTTCCTCCTCCTTTTTGTTCTATTCAGGCCCTCAGTGGATAGGATGAGTCCTTCTCACAGTGGGGAGGGTCATCTGCTTTACTGAGTCCACCAACTCAAATGTCAGTCTCCTCCAGGAACACCCCCATAGACACACCCAGAATAATGTTTAATAAAGTATCTGGGCCATAGACACACCCAGAATAATGTTTAATAAAGTATCTGGGCACCCTGTGACCCAGTCAAGTTAACACTTAAAACTGACAATCACAGTCAGTTATTTATAGAGCCACCAAAAAGGGTCGGGGAGAGTGGAGACTAGAAAAGATTCTTGAAAGAGATGAGGAGAAGCAGAGATAAACATTCTGCCTCAAGTGCTTCCCAGGGAAAAGGAATCAGCTCTGAGCTAGGAGAATAGCTTGAGGCTGAGAGACGGGAGGGGGACTTCAGGGTGCCACAGTCAGAGGAGGGGAGGCCGGGTGAGTTGGCACAGAGCTTCTATGTTAGATGGGAAAAGCAGTGGGTTTTCACTAATCCTCATCCTCAAATTCATCAATATGAACAAAATGAATGAACTCTGTAGAAGTATATGCAATGCACAGACAAATAAAAAACAGCTACAATCCCAATCGCAAGTCTGAGATGAATATCTGCTGTTAAACATGGGCCACATATGTGAATTGGGTGGGGAGGGAGAGAGAGGGCACAACAATTGAGTCAAATATTTTTAAAGCATATACTATGTGCCAGGCACTTCTAGGTGTTAGGGATGCATCAGTAAACAAAAAGAGAAACACGGCTATCCTCATAGAGCTTACATTTGAATGTGAGAGACAAACGCTAAAGAAAATAAGTAAACCACATCATATATCAGAAGATGGTATGAACTAAGTGGAGAGTTTAGCAGGGAGGGAAGATAAGACCGCGAGGCAGTGGGACCATTTCTTCTCCATTTCAATAAGCTGGTTCGAGTGGTACAATTTGAAATTGGCCCTGAGTCAGCACTGAGGACAGCTTTTCCCCTTAGGATGCTGAGGTCACACAGTGGGAGGGCCAGGATGGGGAAAAGGCAGCACGGCCACATCCTGGGCTCTGGGATTCCGGGACAGCTGTGCTACAGATGATGATGTGTATCTTTCCAGCTTTTGAGAAAGTGAGAGATTTCTCTAAAACTATAGGAAAGGAAACTCAAGCATGCACATGATTATCTTTCTTTGGGAATGGTGAGGGCCGGAGGTGAGGGTGGGCTCTGAGAAAGCCAGGGAAAACATTTCTGTGTGCCAGGTGCCCATCATGGTGCCAGGAAAAAGGTGGCACCGGAGGAGCAGTGAAGACACTATCTCTATTCCTCTGACCTGGACTTTGAGACTGAACAAACACCTGGCAGTGGGTGTGGCAGTGAAAGATGAGGACCCTGTTATGGGCTGAATTGTCTCTCCCTAAAGCTCCTCTACTGAAAAGCTATACTGTGGAATATGGCATCATTTGAAGAGAGGTAATTTACCAAGTGAAAATGAGGTCTGCAGGATGGGTCCTGATCCAGTATGACTGGTGTCCTTATAAAAGGGGAAAATTTGGTCTGCATGGTGGCTCATTCCTGTAATACCAGCACTTTGGGAGGCTGAAGCAGGAGAATCTCTTGAGGCCAGGAGTTTGAGACCAGCCTGGGCAACACAGGGAGACCCCCATCTGAAAAGAGGGAGGGAAGGAGGGAGAGAATCTAGGCATGGTGGTGTGTGCCTATAGTCCCAGC